GAATTTCTTTTATTTCAGTAAGTCCGTTCTATGAAGATGAGGGGAATCGCTACAAATGGTAGCAGAAGATGATGCCATATAAGGTGAGTGCACTTTAATTTTTAATTTTTTTGTTTATTGCAAAGTGAAGTGTGAAAATGATTTTTGACTGCAACAGTAAGTATTTATTATGAATATGAATTAATTGTATTTTAGATAAAATGTGTTATACGTATTTCTCAAATCCTTTTTCATAATTTGTAGAAAACAAGACTGTTATGTACCACACAATTTAAAAGTAAATCTTGAAATTTATAATTATATTCAAATTTATTTATTGCGATTCAAAAGACAAACTTTTTAAAAACTTGTAATATTGTTAGAAAATGTCCTAATATCAACAAAATTTATTTTAATAACATCAATAATAATAATAACTTAATTAATAATAATTCATTAAGTTGCGAGGCGGAAGATCTGCAGTTACGCTAGATTGTTTTTTTTTTACATTAATCTCATTTCAAACAATTTATCAGCAATAATATATCCGTTATGGTAAATCTTGCCTGACTGCATGTCTAAACCGCCGGGTCAGTGGAGTGTAAAAGTTGAGGAAATTATTTGTCAGAAAATTAAAATAATTATCTGGCAAATGGTTTCTTCTTCTTTTGCCGGGTCAAATAATAATAATAAAATAAGTGAAGTGAGGTGTGTCAATTTGTAATTTTTACAATAAAAAGAATTTACAAAAAAAAGTCTAAAATAAATCGTGCGCGAATGTGAATTGGTAGCACTGCATTCCCAAAAATTACAACCGCCAATCTTAAACTCAGCGAAGCAGGACAATTTCAAATTCTAAGTTGTACTAATGCAATAATTGGTTCATTAGAAACCCTTAAGCGATTTTTTAATCGATATTTTGTTTTTTAATTAGCGCTGGTGACGATTATATTACCGTACCTGACACAACAAAGACTATTTGATAAAAACAAATAAATAAACCAAATAGTTGTTTAACACTCCTACCACTGATTTGCATTTTTCTACACTGACGACAGACGTTTATTTCCTTTATTATTTTAAATGCTACCCACAAAGTACCCTTTAAAAATTAAGTATTTAAAGGTGAAAAATAAAGGGGGTATTTAAAATTTTAACAGGAGAGATAATACAGAATAGCATCGAAATATTAAATGTGATTTAAAATTTTAAACACCCTTTAAAATTGTTTGTATGTTTACAGAATAGGCCCTAATGAAATTAAAATTTCAAAAACACACCTTATACAGGGTGTCCCAGTGAATTGAAAAAGTCCATTAGTGACCCTTAAATGGTAAAATTAAAAAAAACGCAACCTATGCAACCAGTTATACAACACTGTGGTTAGTGTTGTAGCTTGTCTTTTGAATCATTTTAATTACAATAAATTAGTTATGCACTGGGGAAACAAAACAAAACGCACTAATTATGTTTGTACACTTGTGTTCCGTTATTTCTTCCTGTTCGTGTTTTTCTCACACATTTGTAACGTTTGTTTAATTGTTAATATATTCGTCACGCTTGACGTGATCTTCATTTAAATTGGTCAATTAAATGTATGGTTTTTAGTCGATTGTAATTCGAGTCATTGGATTTTATTAATGACATTGATCTTTATTTAACGAGAGGAATCGATCAAACAGAAAACTGTGTTTTGCAAACAAAAAATCTATTAAATTAATTAGAAAAAACTATTATTGGAAAAATCACATTTTTTAGTTGTAGAAACAAACCGAAAATGCAACAAAAACCTTAACAAAAAGTTTAACAGTTTAATTTTCTCTTATAAACTTAAAAAGCTGTAATCAAAACATTTTTTTTTTCTATTGGTACACATGGAAGACAAAGCTTATCATTTTCAATTATTTTGTGAAAGCATAGAAATCGTTAGAATCAATTTAGTTTTTTATATTGTGTATAGATAAATATTGTCAATGTTGCTAAACACTTTTATCTTAAAAGCTTAAAAAAATGTCGAAAAAGTTTTTTAGGCGACAGAACTTTTAACTAAACACAAAAATCTAACACTAAAAAGCAATTCATCTTGGAATCACGTGTGGAATTCAAATTAATACAAAATTACGGCAAAAGGGCAAACTCTTTAATTGTTGAATTTAATTTTCCCGCCTTTTACTAATCACGTGATTTTTTTTTAAATTTTCATTGATTTAATTTTTGTCCTTTTTTCTTTTTAGTCTTCATCTCATATCATTTTTAAACAATTTTTTTATAGCTACTTAATAAAAACATAACTTTTATTCGTCTAACTAAACAATAAATATGTCTTTTGGAAAAGTGTGGATAAAACTTGATTCAGTCTTAAAATAGCCTATAATTTTTAAATTAAGTAGTCAACACTGAAAAATTGAGAAAAAATTAAATTAAAGTCATTAGAACGCTATTTCTGGACGTTTAATCTCATTAAGTAAAGTAATTCTCATTCTTAGTTACTAAAAACGAATAGGATATCTTATAAAATTGTTTACATAAAATTTACTTTAGTAGCAATTTTACTTTACTACCGGTACGCAAGTGTAAATGAGGTAATAAAACATAAACGTTTCGATTACTCACTACAGCAATAAAAATTCCTCACGACTTGTAAAGTTGTTAGAAAAAAGCAGAAAATCATCCTGACAACTGCTCAAAACTTAAAAAAAAAAACAATAATTTATGTTATTTACTCTTCAAATTGCAATATATATTTACGAAAATATTTGGTTTATAAATATTTAACTAATTATCGGCTCACTTTACGATTTTTGTTATTTGTCATTAAAAAAAAATTACAGAAACCTACCTTAACGACTTGCGCCTGTCCCAGTCTGGCGGCCACATGTAGCGCCGCTTGTCCATGCAAATCGTGCAAATCGAAGAGTGGTTCTGGACTTTGTTCACTCGACGTCGACGCCAAAGACATCTGCTAACCAAAAACCAACAAAACAATAACAAAATCCCCCACAAAAAAATCGAACTCACTTGACTTTCGTATTCGCATCCTTCGACATCTGGCTGTTCTACAGCGCCTGCTTCGAGTAACAACTTCAAGACTTTGGGATCGGTCGGTAAAAAAGCCCCAAAATTCACTCCTGCCATTTCATTGCCTTCGAGAAGACATTCCTCGACGTTACAACCGCTCAAAATGAGCCAAAGTACGGTTAAAGTGTGAACATCGATGGTTTTGTTGGGTTCTAGGGTGCTGCTGACGGTTGATGGGTCGTCGGGTTTTGTCATTTCGGTTTTTTTGATTTTGTTCACTTCAGCATAGATGGGGTTTTTATCAGCGGTGGGGCTTTTGAGGTTCACGTTGTCGAATTTATCGGTGATTTCTTCGAGGCTGTTTTCCGTCTCGATGAAGCTGGTCTCGAGAGCACCTTTTAAAAAAATTCAAATTCAAAGTAACCTTCATTAAAACGTAAATAAAAAAAACAGCTTGTTTGCATCTTTACAATTTATTTAATTTTATTAAAATAACAAAATTATCTATGTCACGTCCTTGCAAACAGATGCAGATTGGATTTGTGAGGTTCTAAAACTGCAACCGTTGCGTAATTAGTGACAGTGAAGAAATAAAAAAATTCTTTAAAACCAATTTATTTTAAGCCAACTAATTAGAATTCTAATCAATAAACATTGAGAAAAAAACTTTCTTATTCTAAATTATTCATAACGAAGTATCGATTATAATTTATAACTGAATACAATGGAAAATAAAAATCCACCAAATTACTACTAATTGAACTGAAGTGTTCTACAAAGTCTGTGAAAAAATTTCTAAATTGTATTATAAACTCACTTATTAGAGAAAACTGTTTTCGGTTTTTAATTGTACAAAATGTTGGTATTTTTTACTTTTAAATAAGGTAGTAAAAAAGGTTGTTGTTCAAATAATCCACCAAATACCAACCTTTTATTACCTTGACCTTTGTGGACAAAATAAAATTCACTTTTGAAATCATTCACAATTAAAAAGTCATTAAATAGTAACCACAATAAATTTTTCGACAAATAACTTACTTTCACAGTCGCGAAGTACGCATTTGCTGCGCTCTGTTGAAATTGTGTATCCAATTATTCTTTTTTTTTTCTTTAATAAGATTTTAACGATTTTGAGTTAATTACAATGGAGCAAATTTCTGCTTACATGTCATCAACTGACGCAAAATTCCCTAAATTAAAATAATCCTTTTTTTTTAAGTAAAAAGTGCCAAAAAAGTCATCCCAAAAGTCAACCATTTCTTCCTCAACTCGCCCCTACGCGGCTCGTATATTTTAATATACTATTGTACAGGTTGTACCAAAAAGATTGACATAAAGAGTAATCTGAGGTTCCCAAGTCAAAATAAACCGATTTAATCCAACTTACCTCTGTTAAAAGTTTAAAAATTATTTTTCTATTTTGCGTCTGAAAGAATTAATGAGCCATTTCAACACCTATTCGGGTGCTGAAATAGACTAGGACAATTTAGTTTCTAAAAGTTGGTAATGGTGATTTTCAGCGGCGTTTTGAGCGATTTCTCTTTTTTCACGTGGTATGCATAAAATATTTGCAGTATTCAATGTAAATTCAACAAAATTTTGAAAAATGTTTGAGACGACACTATGAAAATCGAATTTTTCAATCTTTGTGACACTTATTACCAATTAGGACAAGAATTCCTAAATTTTGAAAAAATGACTTTTATGTTAAAAAAGTACGCAAAATAGAAAAAATAGCATAAAAAACTTGTTTCATAAGTTATTTGTGAGATCTCCTTCTTTATAAAACTCGCCCTTCGCTGTTCGTTTCATAAATCTGAACTCGTTCCACAAAACTTGCCGTAGAAAACGCGTTCTTTAATATACAGGATGTTCCAATGAAAACGAGCCACCCCGAATATCTCAGAAACTAAAAAGATTTTGCAAAAACGCCAAAACAGGTCAATTTTGTTTTCAAAAGGGACATTTTTTGATGTAATTTTTTAAGCAGTTTGGTTTGTTTTTATTAGAACACCCTGTATCTTATGAATGGATGGTCTGTTTCAATTTTGGTAAAAAGTTTTAAAAAGCTTGTTAAAATAGCTTTCATTTGATGTGCCACAAGTAGGGTAGTGCCATTTAAATTTTTAAAGTTTGGGTGCGTGAGAGTTAAAAGGTTACTAGGGATGATTTAAAAATTACGTCAAAAAATGCCCCTCTCGGAAACAAAAATGACCTGTTTTGGCGTTTTTGCAAAATCTTTTTAGTTTCTGAGATATTCGTGGTGGATCGTTATCATTGAAACACCCTGTCCTATTTCGTTTTTTTTTAATAATATTAATGGAGTGATAGATTTTTATAAAATTTGGTATAGGTAATTTGATACCAAAACCACATATTTTGGTACTATTTCTTTTGTTTTATTGTTACTGTAAAGTAGTTAAATATTAACAACTTAACACATTTTAAGCCATATTTCTGTTACATTTTTTTTACAATTTTTGTATCTTATAAAATTTTTGTCTCGGCCTTCGTTTTACAGTAAAAAGTAATCAAATAAACGTTTCAACATTTCAGACGTTGGCTATTTATTATTAATGTTTTTAAAATTGTGTTAAAAAAAAATTAGGTTTTAATTCCTTTATGTATGTTTGTGTTAGTTAACAATAATGTCATTAATTATTATTAATTAAAAAACATAATTGGTGATATCTATTAATAAAGTACAGAGTGGTTATAAATGATTTTCATCTAGCCAGCTGTGAATTTTCCATGTAAAATAAAAAATGCCGCTTTACGAAAATAGGGGTACCTACTTGTTTTAACTCAAAATTAAAAAATCGCCGTTTACTAAGCGTCCACTTCGAAAATAGACTTCAATTATAAACTTGTTTTCTTCCAAAGTATACATCATTATAAATTTTTATTGGAAATTAGTTGAAACAATAAAAGTTTAATTAACAACCATTTATTATTAATTAATAAGTGACACTAAGACAGAACTAGAGCTTTCAAAAAAGTAGAGTGGCACAAATAAAGTTAGATGTAAAAAAATTCCAAAGCTGGCTAGATGAAAATCATTTATAACCACTCTGTATTTATTTTTATCTGTTTCGAAGTTAAAAAAAAATTGTAAACTCAAGAATCATATTTTGATTAAAATCTTTCTACTATACCGTATTGTTTGATGTCATCATTGGTGGGTCAAATTTTCTCCGCAACCCCAAAATGCCTATTTCTAATTAAACCAAAAATTTAACAAAATTCAAAAATAATTTTTCAATTTGAGCAATTTTTACACATTTGCTTACATTTTAACAACGATTTTTATCTACACTATGTCCCCGGATTGAGTTTACAGGAGGAAAAAAATATTTTTGATTTTACCAAAACTGCAAAGGAAAAACATTATTTGCTTCACCTGAAACGAGAAAATTAAAACTTCATTATTCTGATTGAATAGAAAGAAATGTTCATTTTTGTCTTGATTTTGGAATTTTTGATTACAGATTTGCTCGTTTCAGGTGAAGCAAAAAATGTTTTTCCTTTGCAGTTTTGGCGTAAAATTGTTCCTCTTGTAAACCCAATCCGAGGACATGCTGTATAATAATATTTTCTAAAAAAAGTATTTTGTATTTAGATACTGAAGAGGTTATTTCGCATCAAATCCTTCTACAAAAAAAACTCCTTCAAAATGGTGGTTTCTCAAAATTTATGGTATTTCTCAAAAAATTGTTGATTCCCCAGAAATACCAAAAATGGTCTAATTTAGTTGTAACAATTTATTTTCAATGAAATTTTTACAGGGTGATTCTGTTACATTTGATCAGAATTTTGCTGATTTAATGCCTTAGTTTTAGTTAAATTAGAAGAGGTATTTTAGTGATATGGATAAAACTTGACACACCTGGTATAGGTGTATTTTACTATCAATTCTCTCTGTTTTTTTTTTTTCGTAATAAAAAATGTATCACCACACGCAGTAAACTTTTACGATTTTGTCAGTTTACACTAAACTTTTTCATTGCTTCACCATCTTTTTTCACTCACCTGTTACTTCCTTCTCCTCGTACTTGGTCAACTCTTGCAATGCCTTCAAATCGGCATAAATCTCCGTCGACGTCTTCTCCAGCGAATTTTCCCCTTGCGAAGACAAATTATGCTTCTCTTGCGACAATTTATACATCAACGTGGGACATTTCTGCGTCGGTTTTTCATTCAAATACTGCTCCATCCTCGTCAGATGAAACGCATAATCATAAATCTCTTGATTGTTCAAAAACTTAGCGTGCAACGTATAATACATGGCGAGAATACAATGCCCGTGAAAAATATTACACAGATATTTCTGTGTGCAATGTTTAATATCTAGCAACCATTCGGCGAACGAATGATGAAACAATCGAATCGCGCCCGATTTTGACACCACTATAATCCTCCTCAAAAGATTGAAACGTTTTTTGAAATCATCCTGTGTTATTTTCGGATTGTACACTTTGATAATATCAAACAAGAGAGCCTCGTTCAGCGCACACTTTGCCGCAAGAATCACATTTAACAACTGCTGAACTTTCGCAAACTGTCTCCGATTGAACAATCTTTGACACAACCACAAATACAACCCGTTTAGAGTCCCGGGGATTTCCCGAACTTCTCGCAAAACGATAAAATTATCCGACACACCGTCCAACACCTTCTCCAAATAGAGAAAACAACCGTTGCTTTTTATATGCAATTGGTTGAGCATTTCGGCCGTATCGCGACTTATATGTTGTCGCAAACTATTCTCTTGGTCTAATCTTGCGAGAATATACTGTTGAACGTCACGAACCACTTGCGACTTTCGCAAATCATCTAAACTTAATTTGCGAAAACCGGTGAACATTTTTGCGATACTCTTCGATTGTTTGCGAGCGGTGCAAACAAGGAGGAGCCATTGGGGGAATAAATGATGGTGATTGGCTAATAACTCGGCGATGGTTTTTGATTGGGAGCTACGCTCACGTGGTTTCGATCGTGTCAAAGTCGAATTCGAATACACAAATGAGTGTTCATCGATCGAATCAATCAAGATGAAAAGTGAGGTTTTCGGTGGATCGATTTCAAGTAATGGGAATAAAAGCGCCCTCTTGAGACAATCATCAGGATTTAATTCGATATTTTTCGCCCTTAATGCGATTTGTATTTCTGGATCAGACTTGAGTTTTTCCAAGTAGGCGTCCGCGATTAAAGTTCGGGGATTCACCGGTAGGTTAGGTACCGGTGGTATTTCATTTTTTTTGTCCAAAGTTGGCGACAATGCTTCGGTGTATAAATCAATATTTTCCGAATTTTCAGTCTTTTCTTGTGCTTGTTTTCGTCGCATGCTTCGCTCTTTGTGGCTTTCGGTCGAATGGTTGAGGATTTGGGTGAGTAAAGAGCGGACGAATTCGCTCAAAGAGAGACTTTTCTCGTTGTGACCTTGCAGGAAATGGTAGCAGAGTAGGCGGCGGTTTAGGGCGCGTTGTTGGCGTCCACTGGGCCCTTGCGAGGGCCAACACAGTTCGGAGCAAAAGGTCGTTTTGCCACAACCGGAACCGCCGAGGAGGAGAGCACCACATGTTTTTGAAACTGGACGTTGATCGAGACAGTGAGAGAGTTTCTGGAAGGCCCATTCGCGGCAATAGAATTTTTTTCGATCGTCGTGTTGCGACATTTTGACTACATTATTGCGAATCACCTCGTTATGGGGCTGGGGGGTGAGGGGGAGTCTATTGCCATTGGATGGAAGGGGTGGCCATTGTAGGGGGGCTACCTGCGAGGAACGTCTGAAAATGACAGAAAATGAGTTATTTTAACAAAAAAATACAGTTTTTTTGATTCCAGTTGTATATTTTTGACTGTTTTGAATAACTAAAAAAAATTAAAAATATTTCTAAAATAAAGCTTCAAGTTTTCATTCATTTTTGCACGTTTTTCTAAAATACATACATTTTTTTTAAATCTACTTATTATATGTATAGCGGTGCGCCAGAACTCGCGCCCCAGGTAAGAAACCAGGATCATGGAAAAAATGTTATCTATATAAATTTTGAAGTTATGAGGGTTTAAATTTTGCACTTTGACTCTATTTATTTCTGTTGAAAAAATAGTTTTCCAAGTTTTTTTGCTTTAGGCTATTAAAAGAGGAAACAAAGAAGTTGTATTCTAAATTGTAACTGTGTTCCAAGTTATTTTTACTAAATAATTGTAAAAAAACATCAGTATCATTAAATAGGCATAAAAAATGTCAGATAGAATTTTTTTAATATATTTTCCATGTTCCTGGTAGCTTATCTTACTTGAAAATTTTCTCTGGGGCGCGAATTCTGGCGCACCCTGTATATTTTTATTCGCAAACGTCACAAAAGTTATGACTAATTAACTATATTATAACTAATTATCTTTCAGCTATGGAGTAAAAATTCTATTTTTGCACCTAAGCCTTTTTACTTTTACTATGATATTTACTAATGTCTCTTTCGCTGCTTCAGAAATTTATCAAGAGGTACATTTTAGATCATTAACATTTGACAATTTGCACTACTAACTGCACTAGTTAAATTAATAAACACATAAAATCTCAACACTAATTCCAAAATTGATGCATGATGTTTGCTTATAATCGTTGATGTATGATTTCATTACTTACAAAGCGTCCTGATTATTTTGTTCATTTGCTTGCTAATTATAGTATTGCTCTTTAGTCTCGACCTGAATACGTTTACGGATAAAATAGTATATGTTATTTGGAATAAAAGTTTATGTAGCTCAGCTAAATTATTTGCCTCACTACGTTCGGCAAAATAAACCATATAAACTACCACTTTTACTCCTAACAACATATTACACTATTAATTATAACAATTATTTTTTTTATTAATTACTCAAATTATTTACAGTCTTAATATTCACTCTTCAGATTTTTTTCTGAGTTTTCTTACAGATTGTTCACTGAATTACCATAGATTTTTTTCTAAACGCTTTTTATAGATTTTTTTAAATTCTTCTTTACAACTTTTTTAGTCTACTCGAGATTTTCTCTAATTTTTGTTTAAATTTTGTTATATTTTTCTCTTAGACTCTTCTTTGATTTTTTAAACTTCTTTTCTAAATTTTTCCTTAAATTCTTTAGATTACTCTCCACACTTTTCACTTGATTCTTTTTAATTTTTTCTCTTCTGTGAATTGTTCTTTCTTAACCATTGTTATTATTATCAGAATTTGTAGTTTTACATTCTCTTACCCTTAAAAAATTCTATGTATAAAAATTTTTAAGTTATGAGAGTTTAAATTTTGCACTTTGACAATTTATTTCCGTTGGAAAAATAATTTTCCAAGTTTTTTTTTGCTACAGGCTATTAGAAGAGGAAACAAGGAAGCTGTATCCTAAATTGTAACCCTGTTTAATGTTATTTGTGGCTTTTATTGTCAAAATTTTTGACAGATACAATTTTTAAAACATTTTTTCTATGTTCCCGGTATCTTATCTTACTTGAATTTTTTCTCTGAAGCGCGAATTCTGACACACCCTGCATAACAATGCCCTTGGGACATAAACAACTAATAGTAATAATTATTTTGCAAAAAAAAAAGATAAAAAAACACATATTCATAACGAAATTTAGATTATTCAAAAATTGAGTCACCTAAATAATTACATTTAACATAAAATTTCTATAAAAAAAAGCTAATAAAGTATTTATGAGATTCTAAATAAAAA